TCCAGTTGATAATGATGTTGTTGAGTTCAACTATATTCTGTCTGATTTTCTGCTTTCTTGATCTATATATTACTTAATGGGGGTGTTGAAGTCTCCAGCTCTGACAGTGGTTTCCCCTGGAGATCAGTTCTTTGTTTCAGAGCGTGCTGTGGACACGTTGCACAATAGCAACTCTTTCTCTCCTCCTGACTGAGCTGCAGGGGGATCATTTTTGGCTTTTCACCATAACCCTCTGTGTGGGGGCTACCCTAAGATTGCAGCCCCAGGCCTATGTCACCCTCAAGCTAATCTACACTCAGCCTCCAGCAATTCTAGCATCTTCTGTCCAGGTAAGCAAATCTCGACTCTGACTCTCTGGATTCACTGTCTGTCCAGATTTGGGGTTGCACTTGGCCCTACAATCTCAGTTCTCTGGTGGGTGGAAGAAAACTTGTCAATTTTCACTTTGTTCAGCTTGTTCTTATAAGAACAGAAGTGATGACATTTAGGTTCTTTCTATGTCAGAGATGAAACCGAACATATCCTCTGTGTAATTTCAATTCTTTCAAATCTGTTGAGGTTTGTTTTAGCCCAGGATATAGTCTATCTTGTTGAATGGTCCATGGGCATTTGAAAAGAAAAAAATGTGTTCTGCTGTTGTTGGGTGGAGTGTTCTGTGTGTGTCAGTGAGATTGTTTAGTTCATTGGCTTGTTCCCTTCTTCCAGACCTCTGCTGATTTTCTGTCTAATGGTTCTATCCGTTGCTAAGAGTGGGATATTGAAGTCCCTGATCTAATTGTGGATTTATCTGTTTCTCCTTTCGGCACTATTATTTTTGTAACAGCTTTATTGAGTTAATCCACATAACGTACAATTCACCTGTTGAAAGTATACAATTCAGTGGCTTTTAATGTATTCACAGATATGTGCAACCATCACCACATCAATTTTAGAACATTTTTCTCACCCTAAAAGAAACCTTGTGCCCTTTGACACCTCGCTATTCCCCCATACTTAGCCCTAAGCAACTACTTATTTACTTTCTGTCTCTATAGATCTCTCTTTCCCAGTTCTTTGGCTAAGAGGAACAGGCTTTTCTTGGAGATTTTTTTTTTGTCTGTGCCTGTTGGTGGTCCTGGGTTCAAGGCTTCCACAGCCTCCTATCTGAGATATGTGGAAAGCAATAAGGAAACCTAGGGAACTTAGCACTGCTGTGTTGCTCCTCTGGTCCCCAGGTCCCCAGGTCCCCAGGCTGTCCAGCTTCATTCTATCTTTCAGAATCTTCCTATGCTTGTTTGTTGTGTTATGACCAGGATATTTTAGTTGTAAGAGGAAGGACCTGGGAGGAATGGTGCTACTCCATCTTGGCAGAACAGAAAGTCCCCACCCAAATATATTTTTCCTCCAAAATCCAGTTGGATTTCTCTGTCACCTCTCATAGGCATGTGTCATATTAAGTATCAAGTGTGCTTGGTACTTCCAGTTTGTATTTCCTTACCAATATATATTCTAATGTCTTAGTGAAGGGAATGTCTTTCTGACCCTTCCAGTGGTTTTTGGGGGGTGGCTGAGCAGGTTGCACCACATTGGATCCACTTCAATGTTCCCATTTCTCTAAGCCTTTGATCTCCCTCTAGACTATGCAGTGGCAGTTCCAGCATCTCTGTCTCATTGACTGTAGGCGTCTATGAGTCAAGACTTATGTTAACCATTCCAGGTGCTCAAGCTAACACAATAAATCACGAGGCCTATGTAAAGCACCCTTGTTAGCCTGATCCAACCTTAGATTTATTCTCGCTGGCTCATGTACTTAGAATCCATTTCTATGCTTGCTCTCCAGGTTCCTGCTGATAAAATTTGGCAAGATCCTACAACTTCTTCATGTACGTTTTCTCTCCCAGGAGAAGCCCTTGCAATTAACTCTCTTGATCGTGCTGGGGTTTTACTCTCTTTTTGGCCCTAGAGGTAGTGAGTATTGTTAGTGGTGGGTACTGAAGAGAATTGGCATTTCATTTTTAGGTAACTACCGTAGATGAAGTCAGTGAGATATTTTTATGTAAGGCAATGTTTTCTTACAAGGTAAGAAGGGCTGTTTCTGATGTGAAGAAACATTTAGAGATATTAGAGGTTCAAAGTTCTTAGCTTTGTGTCTGCATAAGTTTCAATTTCGAGTCTCAAATTCCCACCCTTTCCCAACCAGCACCTTTACCTTAGCATAAGAGACTTAGCGTAAATATACCTTTCCCTGGTATGTGATTCTGCAGCCTGTACATTCAGGCCTTAGGCATGAATGAGCTCCATAGAATAAGCTTCATAAAATAAGAATTCCTTTAATGCCACCGTAGAAACTTTCTGATTCTCTACTTATGCCTTGAGTTGAGAGTTCAAGGCACTAAGCTTATCTTTTTTTGGAGGGATGGAGGGTCTCTTCAGCACTCAGAAGAAGCCATCTCACTCCGTAATCTTTGAATTCACCGTGATGCCCTAGCAATCAAGTGCCACAGCCACTTGATCTCCCAGCGCCTTACCCTCATTGGCAGTCTGTTTAAGTGATACTTCTAGTAATCATGATGCCATTCATACTACAGATTAGCAGTGTCTTATTTTTCCGTAGCAAGGAGCCCATTCATGCACTCACCAACCCAATCCCAGAAACAGTCTGATGTACTGTTTCCTTAGGCCCTGACTTGTAACGCATACTAAATCAGTTGGAATACTGGCTAGAAAACATGTATAAGCTGGGATTTTGAAGAGAAATTAATGGAGAGGCACTATTTACAGAAGTTTAGGCAGGGTTCAGAGCACCCACAAGGCTGATAAATCACCTGGGAACTTACAACAGTGGGAAGCTTTATCATCCTTAGCCCTTAGGCCTGAAAGACAAAGGGGGATCTGGAGGCTGCTGAGAACTAGAGCTGTCAGAGAGGGCCTGCCCATGGGAGCTCTAGTCAGAGAAGAGAGATGGAGTGGTGTAGAAATACTCAGCCTTCCCATAAAAGCAATGAGAAAACAGGCAAAAATTGTCGGAATCAAATTTTTTAGAACTCTGGAAGTTAACAAAGGGCTTACAGCAATCTGAAGTGCATTCATCCAAGAAAAGTGGCTGAATCTCAGTAAGAATAGAGAGCTTTGTGAAATTTTAACTTATTATAGTCTCATCTTCTAGTCTTAACCTTGAAAGCCAAGAATCTGCGATCACAGTTAACACCAGCAGCCTGGCAGCAACTGGAAAGGGGTAGAAGAGTTGGAGCTTCTTCAGAGGCCCATTGCCAGAGCACTGTCATCTGTCCTGTTTGGTGGTTCACTGAAAGACCTCACTCGCAAGCCTGTCTTTATTTGACCTCAGTCAGAGCTCACCAGTGCAAAAAACTTTCTCTGAGGATATTTGTCAAAAATTATCAAAACAATTACAGACAACTGCTTAACTTCACAGCTGCCTGAGGCAGTGGATAACTGTTGGGGCAAACAACTGACTAATCATAAAGCTGAAAAGGAAAACTAGGGGAATTAGATTTCCATAGGGGTTTTGAAAATCACTAACATATTCCTGGGAGTCTGTAAGGCCATGTGCATGCATAGAGATGTGAGCATGCTCAGAAAAGACCCAAGAAGGCCCTGGTTCTCACCCCTGGTTGATTTTGAGGCTCTGTGCAAACAGGAAGTGAAGGCTAAGGCAGAGCTGTCAACTGCCTGGGTGAGTGTTGAAAAGTGTTATTGGAGCCTAGTGAGAAGTGGAGCCACACAGGATGGGCCACCCATGGGAGCTTTATCCTCCTATCAGCCAGACCTAGCTGGAAGCTGGTTGGTATGGGAATCCAGGATTGGTCCAAATCTAAGACAAGAGAACCCATAGAGGTAGGTCTAGCTCTTGCCTTGAGGTCGTTTGTCAGTCAAGATGAAATGATGGCAAAGCTTCTTTTGGAAGATTGTCAGGGCCCAGGGGAAAATAATCAAAGCCCACAAAGTAACAAAATGGTCCCTGGTTACCAGATACTCAGTGGGGGATGGAGGGATTGGCTACAGATGGACACAAGGATGTTTTTGGGATAAGGGAAATATTTTACATCTTAATTGTGGTATTAGTTAAATAATTGTTATTTTTCAAAACTCATTCAACTGTATACTTAAAATGCATGAATTTTATTGTATGTTTATATGTAAATATACCTCAATTAACTAGACTTTTAAAAAAAAGATAAAGGAAAAGATATTCACCTTTTCTCTATTCCTGCCCTTCATCTTCCTGCTGTGCCTCCCACTGGCCTAATCCAGCCAGGAGCCAAGGATCAGGCAGCCCTGGGGTAGGGTCTGTAGAGGTCAGCTGCCTGGGCTACAGAGAAAGGCAAAGACTGGACTATGGGGTGGGGAAATAGAAAACAGACGGCACAGGGGGTCTTGTGAAAACAACGGTAGAGGATAGCTCTTCCGGTGGAAAAACAAAGCATCTGACAGCTGGAGCTGTCCAGAGTGATTCTGGGCTCATGACCGCGGTGGAAAACTGCCGGGCAGTAGTTTGAGAAGGGGTTCCTCTGCTGTGTGGGGAGAAGACCCTCAAACTTGTATTCAGGTTCTGAAATTACCTCTATAAGCAATCGGTGTCAATATATTTGTAGGATAAATTTCTTAAAATTTCTGCTTTTTAAGTTTTTCAATATGTGTGTTCTAGCTAAATTGATGATGTTTTCTGTTACATGATTTTTATGCTCTTATTTCAAATTATATCATTGCACCGTTGGTCCTACTAAACAGAATTCAGACCATAACATGGAAAAGGCTTATTTTTCCTTAGCTGCTAACTTAGGCATATTATATCATTTGAAAATTGCTAATAAAATGAGCACACACATACCTCAGCTGATTCCAGCGCTCGGTTTTAAAAGGAAATGTACATTTCTGTTGTGTACTTTGTTGACCATGCCTAATCCTTTATTTTAACAAAGAGAAAGACTGTGTCTAATGGAAGGAATCCTGAGACTTCAATCTTGAACTCACAGTGCTCTTCTCTCCCTTTTCCCTTCCAGGAAGACAGCTGTTAGTTTCGTGGCTTACTGCTGCTCCACTCAGTGTCTGCAGACTTTTGACCTACTGAGTTGATAAACACTCCAGAGCCTCGGGAGTGTTGCCAGCTTGACATGCAGTCGCCTGCATATCACACACTGTGCGACCGAGGGACAGGAGAATCCAGCCAGGCGGAGGAGACCTTCCGTCCAGTCCTCTCAAACACGGGGACCGCAGAACACTCTGGAAATGTCATGAGTGAGCTTCAGGGCTAAAGCAGCTTCACCCTTCCCCCGAGTTGGAATATATCCTCCCCAAAATTAAGGACTCTGCTTCTGTGTTTTTCTTTTTTGTGAGTGTGTCTCATACACAGACTGTTCAGTTTGTGTGCCTTCCCAAATCTAATTTAAAGCAAGTTTCAGTTCCCTGAAGAGCTATAATTTGATAAGATAGCCAAATTAACTTTTGAACACACCTACCTTCAATGATACTTCTAATCTTCTCCTCTCCCTCTTTTTCCAGAGAGTTATTTCCCCCGGAGGGTATCCTCCACGTTTTTAATGAATTTCAGCAACCCCCGGCCTCAGTGGTATTGAATAGCAGAGGCAGCACCTGAGTGCGCAGCGAAGTTAGACTCCGGCGGACGCTCCACAGGGGTCCTAGCACACACCCCCTGGAAAGCTACAACCTTATCACCTTATAAGTTATAAAACTTATAACCTTTATAAGTTTGCAACATGTTAAGAGACTTTTGTGAGAGGTTTTAAAAATTAAAATAAAGTGTAGATTATGAATAGGATACACTCATTTTTAAACACTATTTACAGAAAAGTAATTTTTGAAATTTTTTATTTCCTGGTAAGATTTTTATATATAAGAAAAGTTTGAGGAATATTTGAGACTTTAAAAAATCTGATCCTTTTCTTTCTAGATTTAAATATTTTCTGGCTAATGAGAAAGGGTGAGAAAAAAAACATCAAAATATGACCTCCAGTTTTTCTTGTTAGATGGGTTTATGATTAAATTTACATTGACTTTGCACTATTTTTGTTACGCGTGGACACCAGGCTTCAGCTCCTTCTGCTACTAGTTTTCAGCGGGGTGATTCTAAGGACTGCCTGTGCACAGAGATAAAAACACCTGGTGCATTCGCTTTTCTTAATTTTGACCCTAGATTTCTTATATATTTAACACACTGTTGTCCACATTTCACTGTGGAAATACAAGAAAAGCAGGCCCAAATCCAGCCTTGGACTTTTGCAAAAAGACCATAAATAGACAGTCTGAGCTTACCTCTGACAGCAGAGACGCCCTTCACGGAGGGTCACACGTTCGCTCTTCCTTTGAAAGGAGGGCATTTTAACGTTGCTCTGCTGCCGGATGCTCATCGGGTTGCTGTGAAGTGATTCTTTTTTAGTTTTTTAACATTTCACTTATACAGAGCTTTCTCTGAGGCAGGACTTTTTAAAAGGGGAACCAAAAAAGTTTACTTGGTAGAAAAATGTTCAGAAAATTTCAGACTTGTCAGAAATTTGGTTTATGGAATCTTATTAGCTGCCCTAAATCTGTAGTGCTAGCTCTTAACAGTGCTAAAAATCCTACATAGTTACTGACAAATGTGTGATCTTTTCACAGTCACACCACCTGCCGCCCAGAAAGCAGACTCTCCACGTAGAATGGTGAAGGCAGAACATTACCATGTGTTCCAACTGTATTTCCACTGTTCTCACTGCCTCTTGTCCCTTTTATAACTTGGCCTGTTCAGCCTTAACATTTCAAAGGCTTGTAGTGTAATAGGAACTGAAGAACTATATCAAAATATAATACTTCTTTCATGCTTTGGAGTAATCGAAGTTTTAGCATAACCTCTACATGTATGTGAGTTGGCAGGTGAACAATGTGGCATGAAACTTGACAAGTGTGATTCAGGCCTAAGTGGCTGCTGCCCGTCATTTAAGTAACATTAAGTAAATATATTGCAACATCTCTCTATTTCACCCTCTACAATCGTCTGTCTTAGAGTGGAGCTATGAAATGTGCTTACCTGATATTCAGGATTCTCACTGAGATATTTTTACGAAGACACTTAGAATGCAAGCATTATCTCTGCATCTATTATAAACAATGTGTGTGGACCACCAGCAGTGAGCTGGGCAGACAACTTTTGGGCAGTCTCAACCCTAATCCTTGGTGCAGCACCCAGCTGAAGTGATGAGAAATGGAACTTATAATTTGGCTCCCCTGGTGCTGTCCATTATCAAAATTTACTACTGGATTCACAGATGTCATTCTTAACCTTGTAATATTATAAAGGAGTGTTGTAGACTGGAGAAAATTTGCCTACATGATGTGTATTTGAATTGTGTCCAGACCTTTGCAGAAAATTCTAAAGCTATTATGTATGTGTTTTCTTGAGCAAGTTATACTAGGTATAGAAATGTTTCAGGCCATTATAGTGATGCCCAAACAAAGTGAGTTACTTGGAAAATATAGTCTTCAGGTACGTTTACATCAATAATCTGATTTGGTTAATGGTAAATTTTAAAATTCAGGATACCCTTTCGGTCATAGGCCTTCTTACGATGTAGTGTAAAAGGGGTTCATTTTAAGTGGATTACCCTATCAGTGTTCTTCAAAATGCTTAATGGTTATCATACCAAAATCCTCAATTATATAACATTGTGTAGCTAAAACGTTGCATCTTCAATGAATAAATATTTTAAACACACTTAAAATTTTTTTTAAATGTTCAGTACACAAAAGAGCCCTGGCAGGTGGAGGATCCACTCCGGTTATCAGGGCAGAGTGACGAGCTCCTGGGTTATCGGGCCCTCCTCTTCCAGAACAGCGAGGTATGCGGTAAACACCTGTTGGTCAGTGTACTCACGCCCACTAAACCCTTTCACACTGCGGCTCGTCTGACCTGCTCAATGTACCTCTCACTCTTTTCCCACAGTTGGCATTTATGAATTACAATGTCTACAGCCCAATAAAAAAGGCGTCAATACCAGTTGGCTTATCAGGCTTTGCTTGTAGTTTGCTCTAAAATATATACCTATTTTGTAATCTCTGGGGACTTTCAAAGCCAGTTTTAAAAATTAATAGTAAAATTAGGTTTCTGTTTCCTGAATTGAAAAATCAGGCATTTTTATGTTTACGGAAAAAAGCTTAAACACGATATGTTGCTTCAGCAGAAATCAAAGCCTTTTTATTCAGATGATTTATGAACATGGATTCCTAACTAGGCCAGCACTAATGCAACCTGATGTAATTAAATATTGAGATGTAAACTTCATTTCACAGACTTGTAAACACACTCTCCTGAGGAATCTTATTTTAAAATGTATCCTTACAAAACCCTAGCCATATTATTATGTTTTTATTATTTTTATGGTTTCCACCAACGCCTGCTTAGTCCTAATGAGGCTTTCCTACATTTCTCCAGGAATTCAGTGAATCTCTTGCCTTCTCTTAAACAGAGGGGGTTTTTATAAAGTCTGTATTCTTGAAAACAGCACTGTCCAACTAAAAGACATTCTGGTCTCACCATCCTTGCCCAGGAGGCACCTCCTTGTCTTATCAGCTAAGAGATCTGAAAGTGATGCAGGGGTCTCCAGGAAAGGGACTAATCACAGCTGAGTTGACTGTTATCCTCGGCCAGGAAAAGAGGTTGCTTTACACCCTAGGATGTTCTCTTTGAAGCATTACTGTATTGTCCCTTGCATTTCAGAGACAGAAAAGTACTGGCAGCCCAGTGTGGTGGCAGGGCAGAAGGCAGAGCATTTGGGGATCATTTCTATGTGTAATTAAGAGACTTGCAAGGGTGGGCCAGGTGGTTGTTTTTCTTCACTCACCTTTTAGTAGAGTGTGGATTATCCTTGCTACCTATGTTAACGAATGTCAGGTTGTTTCTCATAGTAATTTTGAGACTGTAATAAAATCCAAGATCTTTTTTTCTTTCTTCCTTTTTTTTTCTTTTGCTGTAATGACAATTTTCTAAAACTCTGAGTCTGCCAACTGAAAAATTAATGGCAGCATTCATTTGGAGTGTGGAATTTTCTAAAACTCATACTCCATCCAGTGTGTGGTCCTCACAGGCACTGCTGTTTAGAGAATAGTTGAGCTTGAACCATGTGAATGCCTAGAAATGTTGATGGTGGTGGCTTCATTGTTTTAACCAGATTCATTTTGTTAAGAAAAATAAAAGGGCATTACTTAAAGCCAACGAATATGATGGAGTAAGGACCTCTCAAAATTCTCCCCTCCATAGAAGCAAGGAGAAAATTGGCAAAAATTGTCAGAATCAGCTTTTTTCAGAACTCTGGAAACTAACCAAAGGCTTGCAGCAATCCAAGGAATTATTTACTCAAGAGAAATAGCTGAATCTCAGTAAGAACAGTAAGCTTTGTGGCATCGCAACTTGCCCTATTTCCAGTCTCCCCTCCCCTTTCCAGCTCTGCTGTATCCTCGAAAACCAACAGTTCACAGTCAAGGTAGGAGCAGCAGTGTAGAAGCCACTGAAGGAGGCAGCATGGGTTCGGAGCTCCTTCAAAGCCTCTTTCCCAGAGACTTGTCATTATTTGACTTGTCTGGTGGTTTCCTGGAAGATCTCACTTGCAAGGCTGTCTTTATTTTGCCTGATCAGAGCTTGTCAGGTGTGAAAAGCCTTTTCCACAAGGACATTGATTGAAAGAAAAATCAGAGACAGTTGTGGCTGCCTGAAGCAGTGGATAATCAACAGAACAAACAATAGGATAACCGAAAACTTAAAGGAAAAGCTGAAGAATGAGATATTTTTAGAGGCTTTCAAAAGCTCTGACATTCCTTGGAATTTAGATGGTCATGTGCATGCATAGTGTTTTTTATACAAGCCAAGGGTTGTACATCTGCTCAGGAAAGACCTGAAAACATTCTCAGCTCTCACCTTAGGTTGACCTTGAGGATCTGCACAAGCAGAAGGTGAAGCCTAAGGCAGAGCTGTGAACTTCCTGGCTGAGTGTTGAAGGGTGTCCCAACATTCACACAAAGCCCTCAGCAAAGACTGGGAGAGTTACTGGTTTCAAGTGTTTAAGGAAATCCCTGTCCAATCATTAGCTCACCACAAAACTACCTGAGGGAGACTTCAGTGTCCATGCATTACAAAGAATATAGACCTTACAGAGTTAGTTCAGATGTCACTGAACAAACAAAACCCAGTGACTGCATCAAACCCTTGGCACATAACCACACTGTCAAAAGATAAGGGGAGAATCTTGAAAGCAGCAAGAGAAAAGAAACTCATACATGAGGGATTCTCATCAGAAACCAGGGAGGCCAGAAGGCAGTGGGATGATATTCAAAGTGCTGAAGTAAGTGACTATCAAGCAAGAATTCTATATCCAGCAAAACTATCCTTCACAAAGGAAGGAGAAATTTGGACATTCCCAGATAAACATAATTCATCACTAACAAGCCTGCCCTACAAGAAATAATGAACAGAATCCTTCAGGGTGAAATGAAAGGAGAATAGACAGTAACTCAAATCCATGTGAAGAAATAAAGGGCACTGATAAAGGTAACTACATAGGTAAATGTAAATGACAGTGTAAATGTGTTTTTATTCATAACTTTTTTCTTCGTATCTAAGAGGCAACTGCATAAAAAAGTAATATAAATCTATGTTCATGGACTCAAAGTGAAAAAACACAAAGTTTGTATGACAATAACAGTACAAAGGAAGGGAGAGGGAACAAATGGAACAAAATTTTTATATACTACTGAAATTAAGTTGGTGTTAATCCAAACTAAATTGTTATGCATTAAGATGTTAATTATAGTCCTCAGGGAAACCACTAAGAAAATTACTAAAGATTATACAGTAAAAGATACAACAAGGGAATTAAAATGGTACACTAGAAAATATCTACTAATACAACAGAAAGCATGAAAGTAATGGAGGAACAGAGGAACAAAAAGACATAAGACATGTAGAATACAATTAACAAAATAGCTGACTAAATCCTACCTTATTGGTAATTACTTTAAATGTAAGTGGATTAAACACTCCAATTAAAAGGCAGAGGGGCCTGCCCTGTGGCCTAGTGGTTAAGTTTGGTGCACTCCGCTTTGGCTGCCCAGGTTTGGTTCCCAGGGTGGACCTACACCACTTGGTGGCAGCCATGCTGTGGTGGTGACTCACATACAAAATAGAGGAAGATTGGCACAGATGTTAGGTTAGGGTCAATCTTCCTCAAGCAAAAAGAGGAAGATTGGCAACAGATGTTAGCTCAGGGCAAATCTTCCTCAGCGAAAAAAAAAAAGCAGAGATGGCAAAATGTGTAAAAATCATGGTGCAACTATATGCTGCCTACAGGAGACACACTTTAGTCTGACACAAACAGGTTAGAAGTAAAAGGATAGAAAAAGGTACATCATGCAAACTAACAAAAGGAGAGTGGTAATAAATATACTAATATCAGACAAAGTACACTTTAAGGCAAAAATTATTAGAGACAAAGACATTACATAATGATAAAAGGATCAAGAAGACATAATTATGTGCATATATGCACCTAACAACAGAGCTCCAAATACATGAAGCAAAAACTCACAGAATTGAAGGGAGAAATGGACGATTCAGTAACAGCAGTTGAAGACTTCAGTGCCTCACTTGCAATAATGGATAAGACAGCCAGACAGATGGTCCACAAAGAAAGAAAAGCCTTGAAACACTTTAAGCCAAGTAGACCTCACAGACATTTATACAGTATTCCACCCAATAACAGCAAAATGCACATTCTTTTAAAGTGTGTGTGGAACATGCCCTCGGCACATCATGTTGAGTCATTAAATTATCTTAATATTTTTAATAGGGTTGAAATCATACAAAGGATGTTTTCTGACCACAATGGAATGAAATTAGAAATAAATAACGGAAGGAAATTTGGAAATTCACAAATATGTAGAAATTAAACATTACATTCCTGATTAATCAATGAGTCAAAGAAAAAATCACAAGGGAAATTAGAAAATTCCTTGAAATTAATGACAATAAAAACACAACATAATCAAAATTTATGGGGTACAGCTAAAGCAGTACTTAAAGGGTAATATATAGCTATAAATGCCTAAATTAAAAAAATAAAGGCCTTCAATCAATAACCTAATATTCAAACTTAAGAAACTAGAAAAAACAGCAAACTAAACCAAAAGAAAGCAGAAGAAAGGAATAATACAGATTAGAGTCAAAATAAATGAAACGGGGGCAGGAAAATAGAGGAAATTGAAATCAAAAGTTGGTTCTTGAAAATAATCAACAAAATTGAAATGCCCTTAGCTATACCAACAAAAATAGAGAAGACTCAAATTCCTAAAATCAAGATTAAAAGGTTGCTACTAATCTTACAGAAATAAAAGAATCATAAGGGAATGTGTATGCCAACAAGTTAGAGAACCGAGATGAAAGGAACAAATTTATAGACACAAACTACCAAAACTGACTCAAGAAGAAATAAATTTAAATCTAAACGAGATAAAGGAATTAATATCTTCACAGGAGTGAACATCTTCACTGGTGAATTCTACAAAAGATTTTAAGAATAATTAACACCAGTTATTCACAAACTCCTGGAAAATGATGTAATTCACCATATTATTAGAATAAAAGACAAAGACAAGATTATCTCAATAGATGCAAAAAAAGCATTTGATATTTGACAAATATTTTAAAATTAAGACATTCAACAAACTAAAAATCGAAGGGAACTTCCTCAACCTGATAAATCACACCTATGAAAAACCAATAGCTGACATATTGGTGGCAAAATACTGTAAGCTTTCCCCCTGAGATCAGGAACAAGACAAAGATGTCCCCTCTCACCACTTCTATTCAACTTTATACTAAAGGTTCTAGCCCAGGCAATAGGCAAAAAGAAGAAGAAATATAAAGCATCCAGGTTGGAAAAGAAGAAATAAAACTATATTTTCAAATGACATGATCTCATATGTTGTAAATCCTAAGGAATTCACACACACAAAAAAACTAGTAGAGCTAATAAAAGTTCAACAAAGTTGCAGGATATAGGATTAATATACAAAAATGGATTTTTATACATTAACAACGAACAATCCAAAAAGGAAATTAAGGAAACAATTCCACTCATAGTAGCATTGAAAAGAATAAAATACTTAGGAATAAATTTAACAAAGGAAGTACAAGACTTGTACACTGAAAATTATAAAACATCATTGAAAAACTTAAAGATAACCTAAATAAATGTAAAGAAATCCCCTGTTCACGGATTGGGAGAATTAATATTGTTAACATGGCAATACTCCCCAAATTGATCTACAGATTCAATGCAAATCCCTATCAAAATATCAGCTTCATTTTTTGCAGAAATGGGCAAGCAGATCTTAAAATTCATATGGAAATGCAAGGGACCCAGAATAGCCAAAATAATCTTGAAAAGAGGAACAAAGTTTTAGGACTCACACTTTCCAATTCCAAAACCTACTACAAAGCCACACTAATTAAGACTGGTACTAGCATAAAGATAGACAAGTAGATCAATGGAATAAAATTGAGAGTTCATAACAAGCCATTACATTTGTGGTCAATTTCTTTTTGTCAAGAGTGCCAAGACAACTCAATGAGGGAATGAATAGCATTCTTAACAAATAATGCTAGGACAACTGGATATCCACATGCAACAGAATTAAACTGGACTACTACTCCATACCTTTTGCAAAAATTAATTCAATTGAATCATAGACCTAAATGGAATAACTAAAATAATAAAACTCTTAGAAGAAAATAGAGATATAAATCTTCATGACATTGGACTACGCAATAGTTTCTTAGATATGACACCAAAAGCACAAGTAACCAAAGAAAAAGTAGATAAATTATACTTCATCGAAATTAACGACTTTTGTGCCTCAAAGGACACTATTAAGAAAGTGAAAAGACAACCCACCCAC